GATCATTAGAAGCAGCTTCTTCCTTTACAAAAATTTTCTCCGAGGCACCGTTAACGAGTTATTAACGAAAAACAGTGACCAATAAGAATCGAGTACGGCTGACGCGAGACGGTCCAGCCAACCGGCGCACAGAGCCCAGTTCCGCTCATTGGCTCGGTCGCCTCGCGCCAGCCGAGCTCGCCTCTCATTGGTCACTGTTTTTCGTTAATAACTCGTTAACGATACCTCGGAGAAAATTTTTGTAAAGAAAAAAGTTGCTTCAAACGACCCGAGGAACCCGCCACTTTCGGAAATGCGAGGCATTTTTGGGACACCCCGTAGATATATCGCTCGATGTTCCGTGTAAACTCGGACAGCGGATGTGTGGACACCTCGAAACACCTTTACGACGATCACGATCGATTGGCGTGAAGAAAAATGAACGTTACGCGATCCTCCGAGAATTCCGCGAACAGCGCATCCGGATAACAGAGGTTCCACGCGGTATACGTTCGAAATGTTCGAGCGGAACGTCAATTTACGGGCTCGGCGGAACGAATCGAGCGAGTTAATCCGTAAAATCCTGTAATCCCACGGAAAGTAGACGGGTGCGCGATATATAAGTGCGGTTTTAATCTAGCGAAACAGCTAGTCAGAAGTCTATAGTCAACGGAGGAGAACGCGACGAGAACGCCTGACGTTGGCTGACACCATTAGCGCAGCCATCCGTCACCATTAACACAGATGTCCGTGTGTTTCCGCGAACATCGCATTAATCACACCTATCCACATAAATTTCCGCCAGTCTGAGCCGAGCAACGAAACCCGAGCGCGTCCTGACACCTTAATGGATGATAAATCAGGAATTCATTAAGGGAGGCGACAGATGCGACGTATTTATTAAATCGGTTTCGACGTCAGCAAATGGCTGTATTTTAATCTGTCCGCCGTTACGAAATGTCCGTTTGCTAAGACGTCGTCGCGACCAAGCTTCCCGTGTCAATTAAATTCGACGGCTGTATGCCCGATCGTTGCCGGTTCGAAATAGACGACGAAAATAATTTTATCATCGATCGTCTCTTCATTTTCCCGCCGAGACACGTCTAAATAGGGCTTCTGCCGTCTAAATATTTTTCAGCCGCGAGTCGGAACGCCGCTGCGACGGGAAAATTGCTCGACGAACTGTTCCCTGTCAAGAGTACACCGCCGGACAAAAGTATTTCTCGCGATTAAGGAGAGACACGTTTTGCTTTTATATTCGCCGAATGAAACGGAATTATGCGGTTTCGATCTTGTAATTTTCTGTTCGTCGAGATTCTCGAAATATTCGAAACGCGTTAACGTCGAGTATTCGTGCGAAGATTTGGTTCAACGAATTTTTCTGTGAGAAGGATATAATTATCGTAGATCCATATAAGATAATTATTATAGAATAGATCTTTAAGTCCTCTTAAATCCAACAGTTAACGGTTAATATCATCTGCGTAGCTCGTCGGTGAAGCTTAGGCCTTCGCAGTGTTATTATCGGACAGCAAAAGCAATCGAACAACTTGAAAATATCAAAAAATTTCTAAGTTAACGTCACTTCATTTAACTTTACCTTACTTTGTGTTACTTTGTGTTGCTAAATGCTACTTTACCGCTCGATCCCATTAAGAAAGAAGTGTAATCTAAGCCGAGTTCAAATCAATTAATTCGGAAAGTAATTGAGAAATACGAAGAAAATTTGTACGTCGCATAAACTCGTTCTCAACGGCAAACAAAAACTATCTGTGCCGATTCTGAGAAGGGAGAGAGAGAGAGGGAGAGCCGGCCGAACATCGGTTTCTCCTCTAAACAATTTTAATAAACGACGAATAAACGGTACTCTGAAATTCCTCCGATGTTATCACTGTTTCGTATTCCGCTCATTAATTTCCGTCGCGGACGCATAAAATCCGCAGTCTAGTAATTAACGGTGTACGGTTACTCGAGCAATTAAATGTCCATGAAAAAGTAATTTCGTTGCGCGTGAAAGATCCCGGTGCCAGTAGTTTTTACTTGTTATTGAGTCCGTGTTCTTGCGGAGCTTGCAACGGCGCATCCCGAACGTTTTAATCGGCCATCCGAAGTGTTTACGAGAACCTGTTTGCAATTAATTGGAATTTATGGCACAGTTTTGCGCGCCGCATCAAATGAATTCATACTAAATACTGATGCGAACGGACAAGTTTAGGTCTGGTTAGGACCGGCTGGCGTCCCTGTCACGGTAATAACCACGCTTTTTGTCCGAGACAGCTGCTGAACGTTCGTCGTCTTCATCCGGTGTTCATCGGACGGTAAAAACGACAATTTACACAATTTACGCGATCCATGCGCGCTCTGTCCTTTCTCAATTTCACGTTTCCGCCCTTGATATCTTCTCCGGCATAACTTGCTCCTGTTCGATGTCGCGTGTGTTTTACTCGAAAACGGTGATGGGGACCGATTCAATGACACGTGTACAACGCCGTTCGAGCCAATATGTATCAACTTTCGAACGTCCATTCTTCTCTGTCAAGGGGCTACCGAAATGACATGTTATTAGCAGCAAGACATGTGCGACGCTGTTTCCGGTAATGCTAATGAAATGCGATTGGTACTCGTGAAACTGTCAACGAGGAGAAAACGGTTTTGCAAGGGTAAAAAGTAATACGGTAAATTCTCCCTAATTTTCCTTCACAGCTTGTAAACATAAATGGACAATTTGGGAAGAGGAGATGCGATTATTGGAGTTATAGTTAGACGATTATAGAGTCATAGTTGTCGATTGTCCAAGAACTATAAAAATCTGCTGCGTGGCTCGTAACTCGCCGTATTGTTTCGCGATAATTTTAATTGAATTTTGCGAGATAACGATCGCATCAGCTGTTAAGAATCCGTCGAAACTTTTACACTTATTCGATAAAGTTTGTTGTGTTGTAGTATTTATTATTATATGTATATTATTTACTGTTATATTTATATTATCATATTTATGTATAACACAATATTTATAGTATTTATTATAGCATAGTATTATATTATATGTATATTATTTACTATTATATTTATATTATCATATTTATGTATAACACAATATTTATAGTATTTATTATAGCATAGTATTATATTATATGTATATTATTTACTATTATATTTATATTATTATAGTTATGTGTAATACAATATTTATAGTATTCGTTATAGCATAGTATTATATATTATATGTATATTATTTACTATTATATTTATGTATAACACAATATTTATAGTATTTATTATAGCATAGTATTATATTATATAGTACAGTATATTATATAGTATTACGTTATTTATAAAATTGATAGGGTGCAAGCGATCGAATTGTGCATCACGAAAGTATGCTGCGCGATAATTGGAATCGCTTTGATCGCTAGATAACGACATCCAGAAATCCTTAGGATTACGGGCTCTGATTGAAACTCGGGCATAGGTATATTTCCCAAGTGTGTTGTCGCGTGTACCGTTTTGGCCACCGGTTTACAGAAGGTGTAACAAGCAACCTCCCTCAGCAGCAATCAAGCTTTAACCAAAATTAAACCTCACCGAACTTGAAACCCCAGAAGTTATTATCGCGTTGTAGCTCTTGCACGCTTCTAAAGTAAATCTATCCGATCTCTCCCGAGTTAACAATTGACAATTTAGCGTGCTGCACGTTCGTCGTCGAGCCGGACAAAGATTGAGATTAGATAAATCTGTGGCCCACCGATGGAATTACATTATTTTAACGAGATCCAGGATAGATAGATCGAAATAATCTTAAGTCTAATTCAAAATTATATATTTATATTACATAGAAATGTAAAAATATGCCACGAAAAAGCTTCGCAAAAATTGCACGAGAGCAGAATTTAAAAATACCTAGGCGCAGCTGAGAACTCTCCTAAACGTTTAATCGTGTTAAAATGTCTGGACAAAGAGCAAGGTAACGAGGTTTACGCCCCTTTCAAGGATTCCGACGGTCCCCTTTTTCTTCAAGTACTTCCGCGCCCCCGAAAGTTGCCACTTTCGCAAACGCCCCGCCCAACAATTACGGTCGCCGTTTAATGAATCGTCTTTAAAGCAAGCTGCCGATTCCCCTCGATCGTCTCGAGATTATTTATAATTCTTTGCTCGTTGAACAGAAAATTGTGCATCGGTAGCTACCGGACTGCGGATTGTATGCATTCGCAGCACTTTGGTCTTCCAATTATCGTGCAAGCCGCGCGTCAATT